GCGGAGTTGATGTTGCGATACATGATTACAAAAACTTTGACGCCTTCCCGAGCTTTCTGTTGCAGGAGACGGTCCAATCGCCATTTCTGACTGATGGCAGCAGGCCGACGCATATAAAGCTCTGGGCTCAGCCACCAGTCATGGATATAAATGACATCCTTTGCCTGGTTGATTGCGCGTGAGACAACCCACATGTGATCTCGTGCATCGACCAGCCACTGCGCAAAGCAGTTTTGTCGTACAGGCGCGAAACTGTCGAACCGGTTGGGGCGCATCCATGGGGTATTGGCAACCATGAAGCGGATCGAGTCTTCAAACTGTTGGAGTTGACGCTCATTTCGAGCCAGCAGTTTGAGCTTGCGTTCAGAGTTCTCAAGTCGAAGTGTATGGTGCTGAGGGTGTCTCGCAGACTGCTTTGCAGATTTTGCAATATCCTTTGGATTCTGTTTGCGGAGACTGAGCTTCGGTGTCTGAATTTTGAAATGAGAATCCACCAAGAAGACATCATAAATATTCATTTCCTCGGGGGAGTCCACGCAGACTACATAACTGTGCCTGACCAAAAACCACTTCGGCGAATGACGCTTCTTGACCATAGATGGGGTGAGTGCCTTTCGGAAATCAAGACCTTTGGAGGATTGAATAATCAGGAATCCTTCTTTGCCATGGTAACTGCCTTCTGCGGCCAGACGGACACCGAGAGCGGACAGTTCCAAGAACTTGCACAGGCGATTGCTGTCGGCTCTGAAGATCAGGAATCTAATCATCTTTTGCAGGTAGAGCTCAAGCTTCTTTCGCTGCTTCCCAGGGTATGTTTCTTTCCTAGCCCCCGAGACACCTTCATGGGTGGATGAAGGTCCTGCGGCTGAGTCTCCTTCTTGATTGGTGATGCTGGACTTTCTTCGAACAAGCGGGCCGGAGGGCCGGCGCTGGTGTGGTTGTTGGGTCTGCTTTTTCTTCATTGGAGGCCGCTCTGTTCCACTCATCCCCTCCGCACCAGTCTCATAACCGCCTTCTTCATCTTCATCCTCGAATTCACTTTCGAGGCCTCGCACACCTCGCATGTAGGGGAAAGCACTTCTAGGGAATCGAGGGAGACTGGGGCTGTTCTCACTCGTGCGTAGCTGAATGTACTTCTGAGTTCCCAGATGAAGCTTATACTTGAGATGCAGATTGGCAAAGTCCCTTAGCGTGCGGAAGATGATCCATTTCATGCGAGTCATACCACTTCCATACTCCAGTTCGATTCGGAAGACCAGATGACGATCCCCGGAGTGGGAATCAATCCGGCTGTCCGTAACCCGAACCTTCAATTGCTCCAAAAGGATCGGGATTCTTCTGCTGCCATGCTCATCTCGTTGGAACGCGCTGGCTAGTATAAGGGCAGCAGGTACGGCTGAAGCGAGCTCAGCAAGCAACTCTGCAGATTTCTTATTGTCCACCGTGTTTTCTGGCCTTCGTCGCTGCCCAATAAGTTTCAGGCCAGCTTTGATTTGTTTCCATCGCTGGGCACTGGCACTGGTGCCGCGCTCGGTTCGATGGCGTCTCCAGCTCGCCGTTAGGCTTTCATCGTTTCCAGAAGCCCCGGCAAATCCGGTCAATCGCCTCAGGTTGCTCGGCCGTTGTTCTTCCGGGTTGGCATCTGGGTGCCGATCAGTATAGCTACCGACCCGAGTATTTGCCCACGGACGGCTCCTCATCCGCCGGCTCAGCCTTTCACGGCCTTCGTCTTCCGAAACACCTTCACGTTGTTGGGGTATGAAGTCTGTAGTGCTTGCTCTTCGAGGGAAAAGATTAGTGCGATAATTTTCGAAAGGTGCGAAGGAGGATGAGAAGTGGAATGATGGTCTGCGCGATGTTTTAGGCGTGGTAGGGGCAGTGTTGGAGCCATTCTCTTCCTCCCATTGCTTCCGCCGTCGTTGTGTTTTTCTCTTTTCACGGGGATCACGTTGCTCACCGCCGCTCTCTTCCGCGTCGGCATCAATCTCGCTACCTTCTTCTTCCAGGGGCTCTGGGAAGCGAAATTCCCCCCTTTCCGACCCCGGAGTAGCTATATCACCTGGAGCCGGGCGAACGTCCGTACTGGCACCGCTGGGAGATCGTGAATGTGACGCAAAATTGGGTGCAGTAGCAAGTAACTTCAGTTTGCCGAACAACGACTGCTTTCCTTTGGGACCCTGATCATCATCATCGTCGTGTTGAGAGGCGGGTCGAGGTTGGGACCGGGAGTGGGACGCGTCGGGAGCCTCGGTATCTGTATCTCTGAATTGTACACTTGGGGCACGGGACGGAGGGGACACTCCGGGGTTAGATGACTGGCGTTGATGGCGACTCCATGGTTGGTGATCCTCGGCTGGTCGGTTTGGTCGAGTGCTCATGGATGATCTGCCCCTCGGTGATCCATGCTTCAAGGATGATGGACGCCCATCTTCCTTGTCTCCTAGTATTCTTCCCGTTTCGTGATCATCCGTGGGTTGGGTGGATTGAGTGGACTGAGTGTGCTTGATCGAGGCTGATTCCTTAGGTTCGGTGGGAGAAGGTAACGGGGATGATTTTGATTTGTTTGAATCCAAAGGCTGCTTCTTTGTGTTGACCTTCAATGAGCCAGTTTCCACATCTTTGTGAACTGAAGACATTGTTTTGAGCTAATGTAAGATGATTATCAGCTGTAGTTCAACAGATCCTACGTTGTACATACTCAATTATCAAAGATTAATCTTCATCCCTGAAAGAAAAGGGGATAAAGAACGTGTGTTGACATTAAAAGGAGCATTAGATTAATTTACAGTGGAGTTTAGCTTGGTTCTCTGGAGAAAAAGCGGGCGGTCAAGTTTGGAAAAGGGGTCATATTATTTTTAGTGTTATCTGATGTATCTTATGTATGGAGTAAGTATGTTGTATTAGTGAATATAATATATGAAGTATATAGAATGAAAAATATACCAAAGTGATTTAAGAGTATTTTACTTCTTTATAGTGATATACAATGGGCCATATATAGCCTTAATTGAGGGTTGTTGAAATACACTGGATTTCATATATATAAATAATAAAAAAAAAAACATTGAAGGTTTAGCTTGTCAAAATAAAGAAAATATAGAGAAGATAATAGAGAATATAATAAAGTCCACTCTTAATAGTATATAATCTCAGAATTAAATACCCAAGGCTAAGTAAGGCCTCGGCTTTGCGTACTATACCCGAGTCGCCTTTATCTCCTCCCCCGCCATTTAAAACTTATCTCTCAACATATTTCTTTTTTTTTTTTTATATATATTTCGTCTTCATAACCATGACTGATCCATTAAAGTCATTCGACGATTCAGGTAGGCCCATGCCAGGTGCTGTCTCCCAGAAGGTCTATGCAATTGCCGGCATCTCATCAACGGTTTTTGGACTGGAAGAGCTTCGCAAAGAGGCTTCGGAGGTCGCGTGCCTCTGGCTTCTTCACCCCAGATTAGCCACCCAGGAGCGTATGACGAACATTGCCAACTCCACCATCACCGACTGGAACACTAGAAACCGGGATACACCCTCGGCTAAGGGCCTGATTGCTGTCTCATTCGATCAACGAAACCATGGCACCCGGATGGTCGACCCTCTTGCTAATGAGACTTGGAGGAAGGGAAACCCTCGGCATGCCCAGGATATGTTTTCCATCTTCCGTGAGTGAAAGTATTCTTAATATTAAGATATAATATTTTGACTATTAATCAGAGGGCACTGCAAGAGATACATCGTTACTAATGGACTACCTTCCCTCCTACACATTCCCCAATGGTGAGCATAGCATCACCGAGAACCTAGTCCTTGGAGTCTCATTGGGTGGACATGCAGCATGGAGCTGTCTACTGCATGAGCCTCGAGTCACCGCCGGGGTCATCATCATCGGCTGTCCAGACTATATCAATCTGATGGCAGACCGCGCACGATTGTCCAAGCTACCATCATGGACTAAGAGTGACCCACCTGGCGCTGAGATCCTTGGCTCAGAAGCCCTGCCGACTTCTTTCCTGGAGACCGTCAACCGATATGACCCTGCCGGCATGATGCTGACGCATGTGAATTGCGGGCCATCCACCGGTCCTTTGCGCGAAGGCCCGTTGCCTCAGCCCTCAGAAAGCGAGCAGCAGGTACTCCGGCCGCTGCTGACTCGTGCCCTGGGTGGCAAACGAATTTTGAATCTGTCTGGTGGCAAGGACAAACTTGTTCCTTACCATCGTGGAGAGCTGTTCCTCAACTGGTTCAAGAAGACTGTGTCGTCCGATGGGTGGTTTGGTGATGGTGCGGTATCCTTTGAAGATATCATTGATCAGACGGCGGGCCATGAGGTCACTCCTAATATGGCCGACGAGGCTGTTAGATTTATCAGTGAAACGTTGGCTGCGGGTCCCGATAAGGCTGGTCGACGAGGTTCCGTGCGGGAGTCGAAGATTTGAGCATTAAGCCATGGGTTGTAAATATTTCGATGTCTACAATAGATGACTGAAATTAGATGTGCAAGACCTCTTATCACTTCCATAGTTCTGGTAATCGGACAGATTGATAGACCCCAAATCTACGAATATGACCGTAGCTTTGACTTTTTTTTCTTTTTTTAAAAAAAAACCAAACCTGCGAAACCTTGAAAAGCCTTCCTCGAACAAGACAGCCACGGTCATACCCTACACGAGCATGTTTTAATAATGCAGCACACTCTGCCCTCCAGTAGTCATGACAATTGGTACGCATGAACCACAAAACATTTGAAAAAATCCTCCTTATGGTATTTGTTTAACACACTGATGAAATCGTAAGGGCATTCGGAGGCCATATGCTATGCTGATTGCATACAAAAAAACCCTTTTTATTTTCGACCGCCCGAACCGACTTGGTTTCGGTTCGGGCAGATCTCATTTTGAGTTCCGATCGTCCTCCATGCTGGCGAACGAACACAGCTAGGGCTTCAAATTGCCCCTATTCACCCGCCCTTCTCCAGAAATTTCTCGACGAATCAACGCTTATGCGACGAGCTCAACAACACCACCGGCGGCCTTGATCTTCTCCTCGGCGTCACGGCTGACGTAGCGGGCACGAACGACGACGGGGATCTGGGGGAGACGGCCCTTTCCAAGAACCTTGGAGTAGCCGAGGGGCAGGAGGTCGATGACGGGGGCGACATCGGTCTTCTGGCCGCTCAGGTAGGCATCGCGCTGCTCAGCGGGAACGAGGGACCAAAGCTATAAAAGCAAGTCGTAGTCAGCGATAATTGTCCTTATCAATGGTAGTTCATAATTGTTCATATTCTTGTTGATTGGCCTTCCTCCTCTTTAATAGTGTCGCTATTTGCGCATCTCCATATCCAGACCAATCCACAATTTCTTCTCCTTCATATCGAATCGACTCGCTAGATGTAGATAGAACGTACCTTATCGACGTTGATGGTGGGCTTCCAGAATTGCTGGTTGGTCTTGTGGAAGTAACGCATACCGACCTTACCGAAGTAACCAGGGTGGAACTTGTCGATGTTGGTGCGGTGGTGGTGCTGACCACCGGCCATACCACGACCACCGGGGGACTTGCGGTGCTTGCCGACACGACCGTAACCGGCAGACACATGGCCGCGGCTGTGAGAAAATGAGAGGTTAGTGATATGTTGCTGTGATGTTGCGACGGGCTATGACGAATTTGGCTCCTCTGGTCGCGATCGACGAGAAAAGAATTCGATTCAGACGGCACAGGAAAGGGTGTCGACTCACTGCTTCCGGGTGTTCGAGAAACGGGTAGGCATCTTGTCGGCGGGGGTGTTTCGACAAGACCGTTGATGTTTGGCGTTGAAGGGATCGTTCCGTCTACAGGATGTTGAAATCCAGGCTTAGAGTGTGCGCTAACAAATTCGCTTGTCCCGTGACCAGGGAACCCTAGCCCTGGCTTTGTCAGAACTTATGTCACCTACAATGCACACCGCCTTTCCCATTCTGCCCATCTTTGACAATTTAGGGCTTTGGTACATCTACGCGTGTCCAATAAGCACGACCTTTATGTAAAAATGTGTTGCTGTATCATTTGCAATCTTTTTATTTTTTTATACTAATACCTATCGCGCTATCGCCTTTTTTTTCTGCGAAGAATTTTGAAAGTCTCTGCACAGTCATCTGAGCCGCCCGCGTGGGAGGTTCTGGGACCAAGCTCTCTCTAATCCAACCAGGCAGTTTTTGCTGGATCCGTGACGACTCATACCGGCGGTCGATCATGATGATAGCAGCGTAATCGTTCACATGCCTGATGGCTCGACCAATGCACTGGTTCACTGCTCTCATGCAAGAATTCTCGTAAAAGTCCCTGCCAGCTGCTTTGCCAGCTGCTCTCCTTTCTGGCTCGGATCCAGGAGCCAGTTTGTAAGCCTTCTGCTCGAGGTACTGGATTTTGGCCTGCCAGACAGCGCTGCGGATATTGGGAAATGGCAGGCCGATGATAAAGACGCCCCGCCCTAGCTTGTCAGAGAAATTAATGCCTTCTGACAACTTGCCGCCCACGATAGACAGAAGCAATGCTCCTGATCCTGATTCAACGGCCTCGGTATACTCCCGCAGTAAATCGTCTGTAGTTGCCACGGCTTCGCGAGATTCGTAGAGTATCTTCTTCTTCCGTTCCAGTAGATTGAGAGTGCTTTGGCCGTTACCGTTGGGGATGGGCTTCTTCCAGACACTCAGAACATGACTAAGATAGTCATAACTGGGGAAGAATGCGACGACACCGTCTGGAATAATTTGACAGAGGGTTGCTATCGTACGCCCAAGGTCGGTAATCTAGTTGACATGTAAATAACAAAACTTTCCCAAGTGCTGAACTTGGTACGTACCATTTTCTCGGAATTTCGTGCCTCATAAGTAAAATCAAATTCGTTTCCCATTAGCCCTTGAGTCAAGGATTGCGCCACCAAGTTGGATTTTGGAATGACGTGACCATAGCTGAATGTCTCTAGTCGTTCTGGGGGAAGATACGAAAATAAATGATTCACATAATCTGACATCTGTTGCGAGCATTAGAGAGGTACAATGCAGAAGGAATGAACGAACTTACCGGAGACATGGTACCACCAGCTAGAATGACGGCTCTAGCATCTTCTGCAATTTCCCGGAAGTGGTTCGTAGGGTCAAGAAGCATGTAGTTCAAGGAAACATCGTCTTGACTTTTCTGATAGAAAAGCCGCCCTTCTTCCGAAGGGTTCATAAGAGGAAGAAGGAAGCTTTGAATATGGAACAAAACCGGCATTGTTACCTTATCCCTGGGCCGACCAGGTTGTGACTGTTGCGAAGCTTCAAGATAGCCGTCAACCTTCCGGGCGAGCTTGCTCTCCTGTAAATATCTAGAGAGCTTATAAGGGTTTATCTGGTCAACTCCCTTTCCGGCCATGAGATCTGACGTCTGCACTGAGCCTTCCATTGGCCCCTTTTGTTGTGAGATTAACTTCATATGCTCTGCAATAGAGCTTACCAACCGGATGACTTGCGCAACGTAGTTCCGATTCTTCCCTTTCAATCTGTTCTTGAACTTGCGAGCATATGTTGTCAGTTCCCCGATGGCAGTTTGCAGTTGACTTAGTGAGACAGCCACCGAATGAATGCCAGCTATTGCATCCATGAGGTTGTGGGCTTCATCAATGATGACGATATGACCTTTTACGGACAGATTGAGGGCATCACGAGCGGATCTTTGTAGCAACAAGGGATATGGAAGTGTGACGATCTAGTATTAGGTTAGAATCGACGTTATACCTACCGAGTGAAACTGACCTCGCTATGTTTGATAACTGGACGAGATGCATAGTAGGGACATATTCCGAGCCTTTTCCCAACCTGGGCAATATCTTCGATGTCTTTGACTGTGGACAAAGTATGGTCCCTGAATTCAAGAGCCAGAGCCTCGTCATCTTTGGATGGAATAAAGGTGCACTTCTTGTCGGCTGCTACACCCGCTTGCTGTAAATCCAAACACTTTTCATTAATCGCGGTGTTGTTCTCCAAGGCCCGAACTTTGGGGTTGATGCACAGGTTCTTTCTTGACCCTAGCGACAGGTGTTTCACACGCTCTTCCAGTTTAGAGAGATCATCTTTGCTCTCTGGATCGAGATCGCTAGGTAGACTAGATGGGAAGGTGACTCGTCGCAATTCGCCGGCAAATTGACTCAGCTGAGAATGCGTTCTTGAGCAAAAAAAGATCTTGATTTCATCATCTCCGTCATCCTCTTTATCTTTCTTTGCCGAGAATTTCCCTTGAAACCGTTCTAGCAAGGCTAAAGTGCTTGCAGACAGACCGTCAGAATTCGCGGAGTTCTGCTTTTTCTGATTGTCTGTGTCGCTATCATAGTCATCAAGAACAAATTGATCATCATCAACAAGCTCCGGTGCTGAGTCGTCAATTCGCTATGTTTTTCTAAGTTAGTATAGTATTCCACCAATCGCGGAATATATGCGTACCTGCTTCTTATGTGGTCGGTCTGAGCTGTCCTGGGCCTGTTTCAAACGTTCTTCCTCTTGATGAATCTTGGCTAGTCGGTCCTCAAATTCTTTTCTCTTTTCGGTAATGGCACGCCTAGATTCCCGTTTGGCATGTTCTATCATCCACTCAGGCTCATCATCATCACCTAAAAAGGTCAGCTGATATGTATTATAACTTTCATAATCGGACCCACATGTTGCATCGACTGTTGCCTGAAAAGCCTTTCGCTTGTGATCTCGAAGCCAGGTCAAAGAACCACAAATTAAACTTAGAGATTTTCCAGTACCTGTATAATATATTAGATGTAATAATAGAAACACAGGTATGGGCCTTACCAGTGGGGGATTCAAATACGGCGATCTTGCTATCTTCTAGGCAAGAGTACAAAGCCTGCATAAATTGTAGTTGAATATCATATGGTTCATAGGGATGATGAAAATCCATGGAGATATCTGGACAGAGAGTACATGTATAAAGGAAAGATGAAAAAGGGGAAAATGAAATAAGCGGGTTTTTTTTTTGCAAAATACAGGTACGTATAACAGTTGAAAATATTACATTACATTAATTTTCAAAAAGATATAAGACTCAAAACATGAGGCTGAGTTATATAAATAATCTTGATTTATACTCCGTACTCCGTACTGGGCTCTATAATAATAATAATAATAATAAAACCAGGTACTATTAATAAGTTAGACAGTGGGGTCTACTCTTTTTTCCCTTAAACTTCAACTTCTCTTACCCCTCTTTCTTAACACATGCACTACAACAAGAATTTCCCATTTTTACAATGAATAGACCGCAGGGTGGTCAACAACGTTTAGGTGCAACTTGGTATCCAGGGGGGCAAGATGACTTCTACATGCCAGAGGTCATATCCCCATCTCCTCAAAGGTATTCATTTATATTTACCTCTGATGCCGAAACTACGAGTACTAATTCACCCTAGAGTGATGCCAGAAGTGCCTGAGAATATGCAGGACAATATTGCTGAGATGGAATATCGCGCTCATGACCCCCGCTCCGGACCACCGCAATACCAACGCGCTCAAAGCTATCCCGAGCGCACTTCCTCCGCTCAGGGTCCACCACCCCAACACAATCAATTCCATGATCCTAGTTCTTACGCGCAATCTGCGACCTATGATAGCATGGATCATCCCAACTTTTCACCTTTCCCAGTCTTGCGGAATCCACCACCTAATGTTCCGCCCACCGATGAACAGAGAGAAGCCAACCTAGAGCGCGCGCGGATGGCCGTCCTATCGACCACAGACCCGGAAATGCAACTAGCATGGGCCTTGGATGCCCTCGCCTTTGTCGAGGTTGCTGCACAGAACGATGTCCGCCTCTGTTTGACCCAACCCCCACGTCCGCAGACCCCGCAGGTGGAGCGACAGCTGAGGGTCGACGCAATGAATATTGTCGGCTTTCTAGCCGAGCAGCGCCATCCTAAAGCAGAATTTATCAAGGGCATGTGGCTTGAGTTCGGCAAATTTGGCTGCCCCGTGGATCGCAAGGAGGCATTCCGATCATACTCCCGAGCCGCTGAGAAGGGATATGCGCGCGCCGAATACCGGATTGGAATGCAGTTCGAGAGCTCGGGTGAGCCGGACAAGGCTATCAAACATTACCAGCGTGGTGTGGCGCGGGCGGATTCTGCTTCGTACTATGTGGGTTATCAGATACACTAAGGGAAAGTGGAGAGGCTAACATACCTGCAGCGCCTGGGAATGATGATTCTTTTGGGTCAGCATGGACAGCCCCAGGATTTCAACACGGGGTTGGAGTACATTCGGCTAGCGGCGCAGTCATGCGACCAGAACGCACCTCAAGGTGCATATGTAAGTTCTATAAATCTTGTCTTCGAAATCGTTCTAATGGAAAAAAAAGGTATACGGCATGCTCTTGGCTCGTGAGCTCCCCCAAGTCAGCGTCCCGGAAAGCTTTCTACCCCTTGATCTGAACTTGGCACGTGTCAATATCGAAAAGGCGGCATATCACGGATTTGCTAAGGCTCAGGTCAAGATGGGTGCTGCATATGAACTCTGTCAACTGAGCTGTGATTTCAACCCCGCACTGTCTCTGCACTACAATGCACTGGCAGCCCGCCAGGGCGAGCCCGAAGCCGAGATGGCGATCAGCAAATGGTTCCTGTGTGGACACGAGGGTATATTTGAGAAGAACGACGAGCTGGCATTTACATATGCCCAGCGCGCGGCCCAGAGTGGTCTTCCGACAGCTGAATTTGCACTGGGTTACTTCTATGAGGTTGGTATCTTTGTGCCAGTGGATATCAAGGAAGCCCGTTCTTGGTATGCCAAGGCAGCTGCCAGTGGTAACAAGGATGCATCTGGTCGGATTGAAAGTATTTCACGCTCCAAGACTCTGTCTAGAAAAGACCATGAGAAGGTCGCAATCTCACGTATCAAGTCGACGCGATATACCGCTCATCAGCGAGGTAACTCACTGGAGATGACCCCAGAGAATATACAAATGCCAGATCCTTCGAGAATGACCTTGTCTGATGGCCCACCATCTGCGGCTCCTTACCCCGATCGTCCTCACTCTACTCGCCCCCGTCCCCAGCAGGGCTATCAGCTGTCAGACACTCGTCCAAGCTCTGCTTTCGGTGTCAATCCCAACCTTCGATCTAATGCACCCCCGGGATATGGTGGCCCACCTCCCCAGGGCCCCGGAAATCGCACTCCGTCCTATGGGCCTGGTGGATCCATGAACTACCGCCAGTCTGGCCCTGGAACCCCTCTCAGTGCCCCTGCTGGGCCTGTCAGCCCGCAGGCTAGTAACATGATCAGTCCTGGCGGGGCTCCTCGTCTCGATATTGGCTATTCTGCACCCATGCCGCCTCCAGGTGGGCGACGCCCACCACCTCGACTTGACTCAGTTCCGGATCGCAAGCCTATGAGACCTCCCGTTTCTGGTCATCCCGGTTCACCCTCGTTTCCTCCACGTATGGAGTCTCGGCAACATTCTCATGGTTCAGGTCCCTCTACGCCCCAGCCGGCTCCCTCCGTCGCGTCATCGAGTTCATCCACGCCGCAGCCAAAGCCAGCCAAGCCGCCAAGCAAGGGACCCAAGACCTTTGAAGAGATGGGTGTTCCTAGTGCGAATAAAGACAGTGATTGCGTACGTAAATCCTACTGTTTAGCCATTGAACTTGAACTGGAGCTGACTCTTGCAGATTGTGATGTGATACCCCGGGCTCTGTTCTCTTTTTATCCAAGCACTTCTGGCTGTCTCCATTCAACTTGCATTTTCTCTACTTTCTATAATCTCGGGGTTTCAAAAGTTTTCGCCGTCCGAGAGGCGAAATGGTCTCAATGGGTCTCCTTGTTTCCACATAACTGCATTTGCACCCATCTCATTTCTGCCTTGAGCTTTTTTCCCCCCTGGACATATTATTCGGTTTGTAAGTTTGGGTATGAATTAGATATCAGGAGTAGTTATGAATTTATTATTTTCATTGAAGGCTTTAAAATCCAGTGTCACATCCACGTGAGGTCCCCACGGGTGTAAACTTCACTCAGTACAACTCCAGTGCAACATCTTTCTGATTACACCATGGCTCCACGTAAGCCAAAGTGTGCTGCAGCCGGAGAAGATGGTTAGATATTCTCTTTATCAAATCCTTGAGGCTGACAGCTACTAACCTTGATCCTCGCAAAGATGCTTCAATGATCCGGGAATACCTTCGTGAGTATCCGGGCAATATCTGGGCATTGACAAATCTTAGCTTAATGACTTACGCGACAAATTTGTAGGTCAACAAAAGTATGGTGGCTCTGATAAATTGTATCTACGAAGCAGTTGCTAACATCAACCGGCACAGTCGTCCATATTCGGTTCGCTCCTCTTCAGGACAGCCCTAGGAACAAACCGCTGATCAAACGTCGTTTAGGCCATTGATATTTCTGCGAACCTCCACAACAAAGTGACTAAAGGTGAGACTGGTTGTGTGAGCCTGTCCATACTTTTCTAATATATGGATTTCTAGCGCAAGCCGCAAAAGTTCTCCGGGATTTGCATGAGAAGAAAGAGATTGAAGGAAGAGTTTCCGGTAAGTTGGATATACTGGAAGAAAGAGAGATACGAAAACCAAACGACGTATAGGTAAACAGACAGTCTACCATGCTCTACAAGATCCGTCCGACATCGCAACCCCGGAGGTAGCCGCGGCTCTCAAGCTTGATATCGAACGCCTCGAGGGTGAGATTTCAACTTTGAAGGCAAACGAAAAGAGAGCCCGAGCAGCGTTAGCAGCCCTACATGCAACCCCCCGGATATCCGAACTCCGGCAAGACATCAACCGTCTTGAGGCCGAGGAATCGACGATCCAGGCTCGCTTGGCGAGTTGCCACGAGAGCGACCCTGTTCATATATCACCGGAAGAAAGAGAGAAGCTTGAAGAGGAATGGAAATATTGGCAACGGCATGCCAATGTGCGCCGTCGGATGTGCCGTGATCTCTGGGGACAATGCTCCGAGGTACTTCCAGAAGGCATGACTGCGGCGGAGCTGTGGGTGGGTTTTTCGAATGACGCCCAATATCCAATTGTCAATGCTCTGGAATTCTGACAAATGTTATCAGGAATCTTTGGGGCTTGAAGGAACTCTCCAATAAGAGGTCCATGCGGAGTGGTGATCTTTCTAGTCCCCACTCTGGTCACATCATTTGACACCGATGAAGTACAATGGACAATGTACACGTTTAATACGAGAGCTATGGACTCGAGAGACTGTGTATCCTATTTCCGATGATGATCTGATTCGCCGGTATGCAAGAACAGCTCGAGTATGGAATGGAGGCAACGGGGGGAGGCGAACCGTAATCAGACAATGTCATGAGAGAGACTATTAAGATTGTATAAGATAAATGTTATAATATTATGTTCTTAATATATACAACTTTCTCACTTTTCTTCACAACCTTTTTTTTTTTCTTTCTTTATTTAGTCTTGTCATTGATCTTTCTTCTTTTCTTCCCCCACACACACCCCACCCAAGCACTGACCAGACATACTAACCCCCGCCCACCGCCCGCCGAGCCTCTATCTCTCTTTCCCCTCTCCAATCTTCAACCCCTCCCACTTCTCCATGCAGGTGTATCCTCCATCATCTCGTCGAGCCAGTCATTCAGAGATGAGAGGTCGTGCGCCTCTTCCAGTTACTTCTGGGGCGGTCCCCCAGAATGGACATTCTCGCAATCCATCGGGACTTGACGTGGCCCGCAGCCCGCCGAATCAGAGCAATAAGAGTAAGTGACTCGATTAATTCAGAATCATTGTGTCCAGTATTCAAACTAATCCTTATCGTCTAGACACCAAACACGTTCCTTGCAAATTCTTCCGCCAGGGTGCCTGTCAGGCCGGGCCCGCTTGTCCTTTTTTACACTCAACCGATGCTGGAATTGACTACGCTCCGTGCAAATATTTTGCAAAGGTATGAAATTGGCACCGATTCGAAGTTTACTCCCCTTGCGCGTTTTCCGAGACTGTCGGAAGTTAACGGGGCAATGGGTTTTAGGGCAACTGCAAGTTCGGCGCAAAATGCGCACTAGCGCATATCCTACCAGATGGACGGAGAGTCAATCGGCCGACTGGGAACATGGGAATAGGAAGCGGCCACCTCAATCTGGGCGGCCGGGTGAATCCGCAGGCTTATGTCAACCAGGACTCCGCCTTGACCAACTCGGTGCTCTCCCAACAGCGCATGAACGGCCATGAGCAGCCTCGATATGCCCCGCAGCTGGCCCCGCAAGAGGAGTATGGATCTCTGCACGGGCAGCAACAGCCGTCCTATGATGGTATCCCTACGATCGATACGGGTCTGGCCTCCGATGCCGGCTCCAAGTATGGATCTCCCGCAGAGGATGTCCGATATCCCATGTCGCCTAATAACAACCACCTTAGCGCTCTTGATGCGGGGCTCCCGGCTTCCTTCGATAGCCAAGGTATCTCTCATGCTGCCCGTTACGGTCCGGTAGCGGCTTCCATGCCATCGCAATTTGGATTGGAATCGCCGCCACCCCAGAGACCGGGACAGGCAGATGTTTTCCGAAACCTGCGTGACATTGGCTATGGTACTAGCTTGCGCAAACCTTCATCGAACATCGGGTCTTCTCCTCCCGCTCCTGAAGATACAGTCGGAACCCGGTTCATGCACTCGTCACGCCCCGTCAAGCCACGCATGCTTTCCGCTAGTGTTCCTCGTCCTATGGCCCTTGAGGACTGGGATGAGAATTTCCCCATGGAAGAGGACTACCTACCAGTGAACCTGCACGACGATGTTCTGACTCCGCAGGAAAAGCTGCGCCGACTCTCCCGAACTGATAACGATCTAAGCTCCAGCCACCGCGACCTCAGCGGCCTTGGCATGACCAGTACCAGCTTTTCTAAGACTGGTTCTCCCCTAGCGTCCAGCCCGTCTCGGTTTGGTGCGTTGTTTGCCAAGCAGCGCCAGCGCAAGGAAGAGGAATCCCATGGCTCGTCCTCTTTCCACATCGGCTCTCCTCTCCGTGAATCATCACTGCACCCAATCGCCAGTCCTAACCTAGGACCCATTGGCAGTAGCCGGGCATCCCACGAAGGGTCATCATTCCTTTCAAGCCCTGGACGGCAATCCTCAATGTCGATGATTTCTGAGCAGCTTGGCGGCATGGGCCTTCACCCTGGTTCTGCTCGCCAGTCATCTGCCGGTCCTGGCCGCCTTGACCGAATCATCTCTCCTCCTGTTAACACGAGCAAGATCGAGGAGGAAGAGCAGAGTGATCTAGTGTTCGACATGGAGGAAGAGGTCGGCAACAAGCGGAACAGTGCCTCATGGAGTGAGAACAAAGAAAGTTCCACTTAATCCTCTTTGTTCCAGCCAATTTCGTCACGATGCATCAAGTCCAAGTCCAACATTGGAACATGTTCATATTCAAAAACACAAGAAAAAGGGTATTGGAGTTCAATTGGGCAACATACATCAGAGAGACAAAATAAAAGGAGGGACCAAGACAATACATCCTTTTCTCTCTTCAAGTGAGAATATCTGGTTTGGCAAAAGCAAAAGGCGACGAAAAAAAAAAACATCACATCCCTCTCATAGACTGGCCCTCAGCATCATCTGCCTTGTTTTATTCCTTCATTTGGAATCATCTAGACCAGTCATATGTGTTTCTCATTGCTGTTCAGACTTCTCTGAAGAGCCATTTACTGTATTAATCTCTGCGTTTGATTTGTTTTGATTTGCTTACAGTTCTGGGTATCGCATTGTACCTGGGTTGACATATCTCGACTCTTTCATATCTGCTTTTGTTTCATGATTTCACGACCACTGCGATCTCCGGTGTTTCTTCGGTGCTTTGTCTTTCTTGTTCTTTGTCCTCTACTGTCGGAACATGTGGTCTTGATTTTCAGGACTGCAGACATGTACAAATTGGAGATGTGCAGATAAGCAATTCCTTGTTTTGTGATCATTCAGTGGATAATCATCTAGTAGATGTATTGTAGTATGTAGTTTGTTGGAGAGCATGTTAACATTCAAATTTGAGAATAGGTACATGTATATATATGTCTACATCTTCTCCGGGGCCCAGTTACAACTGATGTACAACTGTAGACAACATCTACATATGCTTATTGACATGCAATTTACCGGCCAGAGTGTATGAACGACTATAATAAGAATCATTCCATTTTGTACCTAATCATACATACCCTGAAACTAGAATAGACGCCTCAAATATTACGCCTTTGGAAACCAATGAAACCACGCCAATATGTCCACCTTTCTTCTAAGCATCGTCCAGGTACAAAGCAGTACCCTTTAAGTTGACCAAACCTTCTGTCTCAGACTGAGCCTGAATATGCTCTGTCTGTTCCACAGCCCGGCGATCTGCTAAAGCACCACGCTCCCACATTCCATCGAGATCCATAGCAGCGCCATCCCGAGCCCGATTAACATATCCATAGAGCTGATCCGTACCCGTAACGACGCGCTGCACCAGTGTCTCAAGCGCTTTACCAGTGAGCGCCCCGGCACGACTCTTAAGCTCAGCCTCCACCTCAGCGCGTTGGCGCTTCCTAGAGTCATTACGCTCCGCCTTCTCATCGGCCAGCTTACGCTTCCTTTCTTCGACCTTCTTTTGGTGCTCTTCCTTTGTAGCAAGGTACTTTAGGGAATGGCCGAGCTTCTGGGTAGAGGGCGGGATGAAGTCCACCGGAGGCGCAGAGAAGAAGAGCACACGGCCGTGGTCGTCGCAGTGGAATTGCTGGCGAATGTCTTCTGGGATGGCAGCGTTGGCTGCATCACTCAGGTGGAAGACCTCCACAGGCCGTGGTGCGTTGGGGTTGTACACGGCTGGCGGGGCTTGCATGCGGTTTTGGGGGTACCCGGTGTAGGGGGATGGCTGGGCTGCTGAGTATGGTTGGGCCGCTGGTGAGGTCTGGTATGCACCTGCTGGTGTTTGCGGGGTGGCGAGGTTGCTAGCGCGGCGTTGAAGAGATGCTGTAAAGGCTTGGGATGGGGTCATTTGGTGGAAGCCTGGTGGGCGGATGGGGGCAGGAGTGGTGTGTATGATGATTGGGGGTGCTGCTGGGGAACGTGTATGGAGTGCAGCAGTGCCTGGGCTCATGGCCGTTCTGGGAAGTGCTTGGCTCAGTGATTGACGGGGTGCTACAGACTGGGGTAAGGAAGGAGGAGGCGGGGATGGGGTTGGCTCGGGTGGTGGGGATTCCTAATGTTCGTTAGCTTTCTAGGGTCATTTCTCATGTTGCTGTCAAAGATTTACATTTTCATCTCGCGGACGGCGATGAACAGCGCCGGCAACAGGGGGTGCATTGTCGGTTCCCCAGGTCGGCCGAGGAAGGTCATCGGTCTCCTTAGCATCCTCTTTTAGGAGATGCTTGATCGGACTAGGAATTTTCTTGATCTTGCGCGGCACATCAAAGAGGTCCATCTCGTAGTCTTTCTCTCGCACTTCATCTGGTAGACAGCTAGCCCATGTCTTGATCTTGTTCAACTTATGTTTCTCCTCGTTATAGCGAGCCTCGCACACGTATATTTCCTTATCCGGTGCGAGATCTCTTGGGCGACCACGACTGTAACGGGTGAAGAACATAACGAAGCAGCGATCCACAATCTCATCAATCCGGTGGTCTCGGTATTGCCCAGTCTTCACAACCTCGTTGGGGTAGAAGTGTTTCTCGAAGTGATGTACTGTCTGCTCAGGACGGTAATACCAACACGCGTTAATCCATTTTTCTCCATCAGAGTCCTGCCAGGTTCGGTAGATCTGCGCAACGATGGGCTTGGTCACATCGTTTTGGTTTTGGATATGAACCCAGTCGCCAACCTTCCACAGTTCACCGCGGTGGAGGATGCCATCAGGGAGTGGGAAACGTCCATCTTCCATCAAGAACTCGCTATCGGGCTTCTTCTTTTCCTGCTCGGCCAACTTTCGTGCCTCGGTTTGCAAGTCAACCGCATCCTTGAAGATCTGACTGTCGGACTGGTTGTAAGCCTTGGCATTTTCGAACATGAGATCGAGATCGCGCATGAAATGGTCGACGGAATTATACTTCTTGCGCTTG